TCTGGGGAAAAAAAATCTATAGTTCAAACTGCCCCCCCCCATTAGCACGAAAACAGTCAAGGAATTAAAATAGCAATGTAAAGCATTAAAATAGCGAGACTGTATCCTGTGAAAGTCCCAAATATATCAATAATTCAACAAATATAGTTTAAGAAAATAAATGTAATTTATTTTCTGCCTGCTGACATTATTTTTCCAGAATATTTATATTTCCTATGTAATAGCTACTCCTATGTGTCAATGCTTTCACACATAAACTAAACTGATAGTATGAAAATATTTGAAAGCTATAAAACTCAATTCACTTAGAAGTTAACTGCAATAAACAAACTGCAAAATAATAGTCTCATATAAAAACATAGAAAGCAACAATGTCCTAGATCCAATTGAAGATCAAGTTTTTTCTCAAGGAAAACTTGCCAATTTTTAAAAGCATTTTATCAATCAACCTGGCAAGAATAAAATGTAAAGAGGACAGAAATTCTGGAATTTAGCTAGAATTTAGTTTCGTATCTTCCCATTCACTGTATAAGAATAACGGAGACCAAAATGTTTTCATTTACCTATCTTAGTATGTAAACGCATCCACAAGAACATCCAGTCAAAACTCTTGAGTTATAAGGGTTTGATGGTAGTCTAGAATTGGTGAAATTTGGGGATAAAAGTGTGCAATTTCATTTTAACCACGAGCTTCAATTTACTTCTCCAGTAAACGTGTTATCAGGAGCTTACAAAAATGTTCTAGCTCTTTCCTTCCCCTGGATTCTTAAATTATTCCAATAAATATCTTCTGAAAACATTCTATGTAAAACACACTTTGCTAAGTAGTTGCACATAACTTTACTTCAGCTAATGCTCACATCAGCCCTGTGATGAAAAATCTTCACTTTACACATAACTACACAAGGCTTAGAGAGGCTAAGCAACTTGTCCCTGGTTACAAAGCTGTCAGAGGCAAAGTCTGCATCTGAACTAAGGTTTTCAGACTACACCACCCTATCACTTTATTTGGTAATCACATACTGCCAAAAATTGCGTTGTGCTTTAATATCTTATGGTAACCTTTAGTAGACTGATTCAAGTTGCTTGTATGATACAATAACAGACTACAAGTTTAAAAATTCTCAGCTTTGTAAAATGGAAACAATACCAGAATAACTGAGTGCTTACTATGAATGCTTTTCATGTATTAACTAATTTAATCCTCATAACAACCATATGAAATCAGTACATTATTGTCCCGTTTTACAGATGAAAAAGCTAAAGGCTAGAGAGGTTCTCTAACTTACCCAAGATTAAGGTTACAAGTTAAAAGGCTTTAAAAGCCAAGGTATTCTGTCTCAAGTGGTTACTTGCTTAATGTTCTAACTGTCCCTCTAGGACTAATAATGACTAAATGACATCATGTATTCATACAGTAGGGGGATTGAAAAAATTTTAACTCTGGGCAATGGTTTCTTAGCAATGACACCAAAAGCACAGACAATAAAAGAAAAAAAATAGAAAAACGGGATTACATCAAACTTAAAAATTTCTGTGTGTCAAAGGACACAATCAACAGAGTGAAAGACAACCTACAGAATGGGAGAAAAATGTGCAAGTCATATATCTGAAAAGGAGTTAATATCCAGAATATATAAAGAATACCTACAACTCAACAACCAATAAAACAAATAACCCAATTAAAAAATGGGCAAAGGATCTGAACAGACATTACCCCAAAGATGATATACAAATGGCCAAACCAGCATATAAAAAGATGTTCAATATCACTAATCGCCAAAGAAATGCAAATCAAAACCAAAATGAGACATCACTTCATACTTGTTAGGATGGCTACTATCAAAAACAAACAAAGAAGCACAGAGAAAATAACATGTGTTGGTGGGGATGTGGAGAAACTGGAACTCCTGTGCACTGTTGGTGAGAATGTAAAATGGTGCAATCACTATGGAAAACAGTATAGCAGCAATTCCTCAGAAAAGTAAAAACAGAATTATTACCAATATGATCCAGCAAATTGGTTTCTTGGTCTATACCCAAAAGATTTGAAGCAGGATCGCAAAGAGGCACAGCCATGTTCATAGAAGGATTATTCACAACAGCTCAAATGTAAAAATAACCTAAATGTCTACTGACGGACGGACAATGAAAATGTGGGACATATAAGGTGTGGTCAAACAATACGGTAAATATTTAAATTAAAAAAAAATTACAGTAAAAAACACACTGCTACTACTCCTCCTCAAAATAGTCCCCCTCACTTCGAACACACTTATCCCATCATTCTTGCCACTTTCTGAAGCAGTTCTGGAAGTCCTCTTTTGTGAATGTCTTTAGTTGCGCTGTTATGGTTGCCTACATGTCCTGAATTGATTCAAAAAGTTTACCTTTCTGGCTCAGTTGGTTAAGAGCTCTCTCTCTGAACAACTAGCGGTTCGATTCCCAGCCCAAGCTGAGCTTCCAGCAGGTGGCGGGATGGCTCAGCTAAAAAAAAAAAAAAGTTTACCTTTCATGGTCATTTTGACGTTGGGGAAGAGCCAGAAGTCGCACAGTGCCAGATCTGGTGAATAAGATGGAGGAGGACACACTGTAATGTTTTTGACAGAAATTGCCATACTAGAAGCAATGTGTGACATGGAGCCTTTCTGTTGTGTTAAAAAAATACAGTGAATGCTGCTGTGGAGTACCATCCAACAGAAAGGCAGGGATCTTCAATACAGGAAGTGGCGTATCAAACCTTAGTAACAGTGTGACAAGTTTCAACTGATTCAGTGCAGTCAGTCCCGTGTGAGCTAAGGTTGAGAGAACATGTGTTTTAAAGTGCAATAAATAATCTTCCATCAGGACAACAATCCGTGTCACACATCACTTCTGGTATATGGCAATTTCTGTCAAATAAAAACATTACAGTGTGTTCTCATCCACCTTATTCACCAGATCTGGCTCCATGAAACTTCTGGCTCTTCCCCAAAGTCAAAGTGATTCAGGACATCGAGGCAGCCAGGACAGCGCAACTGGACATTCACGAAAGAGGACTTCCAGAACTGCTTCAGAAAGTGGCAAGAATGATAGGATAAGTGTATTCAAAGTGAGGGGATATATTTTGAGAGGGGTTAATGGCAATGTGTCTTTTACTCTAATAAATTTTTTATTTAAACATTCACTGTATTGTTTGATCACACCTTGTATATGCAATGGAATATTGAGCAGCTTTAAAAAAAAAATCCTATCACATACTACAACATGGATCAACTTCCAATACATCGTGCTAAGTGAAATAAGCTTCAAAAAAGACAAATACTACAACAGGCCCTCAAATAACATTGTTTCATTCAACTTCATTTTGTTATGTTGATAAGATTGCAGTAGGAATTTAACTCTTGTTTATATTAATTAGCCTATGGTAAATCTGGTTTCATTATGCATCATTTAGCTTAAAGTGGCAGAGACTATCGATGATGTTCAGTGAGGAATTGCTGTATATGATTCCACTTATATAAGGTATCTAAAGTGGTCAAATTTTAAAAGAAAGTATAATGGTGGATGCCAGGGGCCAGTGGGTGGGGAAAATGGAAAGTTGTTTCATTGGTATAGACTTTCGGTTCTGTAAGATGAAAACTCTGGAGATCCGTTGCACAATGTGAAAATGGTTATCATTACTGAACCGTACACTTAAAAAGGGTTCAACTGGCATATTTTATGTTTTTTTGCCACATTTAAAAAAATTATTACCTTTCTTTTCTTTCACTTCCCTTTTCTGTCCTCTCTGGTACAGTATTCAATAGCAATGTAATGAAAGGATAGAAGAAAGCGAAGAATACAAGGGCTTCACCAATGTAGAAATAAATTAGGAAAACAACAATAAAACAGGTAATCACCCACTCTTACAACGTTTCAATAATTTTCTTCTTAACCTGGAAATACCTTGAATCTCCAGTGAAACAGTATCCTCTTGGAAAGGCACTAGAGAGTAGTGGCTAAAGGCCTTTGCAGCTGGAAAGCTCAAGTACTATTCTGGCTTTGCTATTAATTTCTGTGTGACCTTGGGTAAGATATTTTCATCCATCCATCTATCCATCCATCCATCCAAAAGGCAGTCTGTTTCCCTATGGGTAAACCTGGTCAAATGAATCCTGTACCTCTACATAAGATTATTCTGAGGAGTAAATGAAATACATATAAAACACTTAGGCAGAAGGCCTGGCACTTCGTTAGCACTCAATGTTAGCGACTATTAAGGCCTAGAAAGCAGGAAGCGAACGGGGTGAATTCAACTAAAAGTCCAGTACTCTATTCCTTAGAGAGCTGCCTAATTTGTCAGTAATTATGGTGTTATCAAATCAGATATTATTTAACAAATTATTACTGACTCTTGATCATTCTTGCCAAATTTCTACTACTGTCTTCTCAGAAACTCCCTCCCAGGGAAAAGCAATGTCATCTCAGGTATTCGAAACTGTTTGCTTTGGGAACGATGTTGTACCCCAGAGATGCGGAACCTGAGACCTGTACCTTAGTGAGCGGAGTTCCCAGTTCCTCTCACTTCATTAGGGGCCTAGGCCATATTTGGGAGGGAGGATGGGGAGGGAGAGGGCCGCAGAACCAAACACCCAGATATTAAAGCCTTACTCTGCTAAGGTTAAGACGGGACGAGACAAATCTTCCAGGGACATTCACTTGGGCGAATGGCAGCCGGACACTTCCGAAATCGAATCAGGGAACCGGCGACTCTCGCCTGTCAGGTGAGAGGCGGCATCTCACAGGCAGGCTGGTGCAGGGGGTCTCGGGCAGCCCGAGCCGAGCCCATCCCCAGCCCGGCCCGGGACGGTTGGGGCCGGGGCGAGGGTGTGTCGGGCTGCTCCTCCCCGGGGTTCGGCGGAGGGGTCGGGCTGACCCGGGGCCCCGCCAGCTGCCAGTGGGGCGATGGTGGGGGCGGGGGCGGGTTACGCGGCCGTCTGGGGGCCGGGCAGGCAGGGAAGGGACACCAAGGGCCTCACCGCGGGCCGAGGGCAGTGGGTAGAGCTTCTCCGCCTTCTGCAGGAAGCGCTGGGCCTTTTCGCGGTTGCCGGCGTTCAAGGCCTCCCGGGCGATCTCCACACATTTCTCCGCTTCATCCCGGTTCCCCTCCATGGTTTATGCCTTCTTCCGTTTCCTCTGGGAGTGCAGCTAGAGGGGCGGAAGCCGCCGCCGCCGAGGAGGCGAGGCCAGCCCGGGTGGGGGCGTGCGGAGGCGAGCGGGGAGGAGCGCAGCGACCGCGGCGGCGGCGGCAGCGGCAGCGTCCAGGCGGGCTCGCAGCTCCGCCTCTTCACGGTGGCCTCCCCGCCCCCCGCGGGCCGCTACGGCGCGAGCCGCATCTCCCGGTTCTGGTCCGAGCTCCCGGGCCTGGGCGTCCAAGCCGACTGGGCGGTGCGTGAGCAGAGCCGAGGCTCAGAGCCGCGCGGGTAACCCGAGCGAGCGGGAGGGCGACACCAGCCCGGCGACCCGCTGGGGTGTTGCACCGAGGCGGGGACCGGCCTCCCGCATTGGCCCTACTGTACCCCCTGACCACCCCTCGCGGCCCGTAGCCCGCCTTCCAGGCCTCTGGGGTGACGGATGGGAGCTGGGGATGCGTTTCCACGAAAATTCCCAGGGATCGAGGGCCCCGCCTCCAGGCCCCCAAAGCCTTGGGAGGATTCGGTCAGGTGAGAACCGTGCTGTCAGTCCCTACGTAGCGCTTCCGGCACAGGTGTTGAACACATTAGAGCGTCATTAAACCCTAACTTGGAGCTTGTTTTATTGCCTTTTTATTTCAGCCACAGGCCACTTTTCAAATCCAGATTCCATTAAATTGTTTCTCAGGATATCCAAGAGGTACAAAGTTTGCAATTATTCTCGTCTTAGCCCTAATCCTTTTATGACCAAATGAAGGCAGGAACCTGCTCTCTAGAAATGCATTACCATCCCATAAACTACTTGGTTTTCTCCCTTCTGTTGTCATGCCATTGCCCCTGTGAAATGCTGTACCATGTTATATTCGTCTCCTCGGTGAGGGTGGAGTGGGGAAGGGCCACTTAATATATGGTAATGTCCTCATCCAAATTTAAAAAAAGACAATTTGCCAGAAACCAAATGTCACAATCCACTCAACTCAATCACAAAATAACCATTTTTATGATGTTCAGTCAAGCTACTGTTACCATGCTAGCAAATACCAGAGCTTGAGACTTCCAAAGAAATCTTGGTTCTCCTCAAATTGGAAACAGTATTATTCCCCAAAGATGTTACTGACTACTGAACAATTAGGTAAGACTTCAAACTGTGTAACACACAGGAAAACACTATCCTCAGTCTAAACTGGAAGTGCCTTCTGTGGAGGTAGACACTGTACTTCCCTACCTGCGGCCCCTACCCCCCCACTGCAGCAAGCTAAGACAAATTAAGATGGTCAAACAGCCTAAAAATGTTGTCCCCTTCCAGCTCCTGCCCAAGTTTTAAATATTTTTAATAGCTCATTACATAACATTAAAAAAATTTACACTTCGGCCTTCTAACTTTATCTACAGAATTAACAGTTTAATCCCAGAGACAAAATATGCTTCAATTATTGCTGGATGAGAGATACCTATTCAGAAGAAAGGAGTTCTTATTACAGTCAAGCAAATTTAAAATGCAACTAGTTTGGGATATGACCTTTATTGAGCTTATCCACCTGGAGTGGAAATAATGTCTGTACAAAACCAAATGTTTGTTACTATAACTTCTGCATCACAATTAAAATCCAAACAGTTTTTTAAAAACAGTCAACTCAATCAAAACCCACTACTTCAGAATCAATAGCTTCTTTGAAGCCACAGTAACACTTAAATATGGTTAAGACTCGAATGCAGAAATTTGGTTGGTTGGAAAGTTAATTAAACTTCCAACTTGCTCAAATAGAATTACAAAAAGGCAAAATTGTGTTTTTCACAGAGATACAGTCCACTGGAATCACCAACACTGGACAGCTGTTAGAGTATTTAGAGTCCTGAGATGATAAGAAATCCAGGCATCCTTTAGACAGTCTTCTGTTGTCCTTTCTTCCCAATCAGAGATTTGTGGATGTGTGGAATGACACCTAGGGAAAGGGACAGGGATTAATTGCACTTTTTAAAACACATTTTTAAAACCACACTGTACTTGGACCAGGACTGTTTACTGTTCAACTTCGAAGTTGTCTTTAAATGTGAAGCTCAAGCATGCAGGGTAAAACTTCATTAAGTTATATACATAAATCATATTTCATGATGTAACCATACTACATATCAGTGAAAATATACTCAAGTGTCCTCTTCTAAGGTAAAAATTACTAACAGGAATTAAAGCAAAGAATTTTCTCTAAAGGAATTTAAAGTAAAATTTTAGTATTTACATACCACCACCAGCAATTGTAGCTTTGATGAGAGAGTCCAATTCTTCATCTCCACGAATAGCAAGTTGCAAATGACGAGGAGTAATACGCTTTACCTTTAAGTCTTTTGATGCATTTCCTGCCAATTCAAGTACCTAGAAAGCAGAGTCTAATCAATCTCCTTCCAACTCTCTTTAAGGCCAAGATCCAGAGCAGAATCAAACCTTCATTAACTAAATCTACCAACTGCCGTTTTCCCCACCACCTGAACGGTAAGATACTCTAAGCTATAATGGGGGCAATGCAATTTTATTTCCAAGAGCAGCTCAAGCTCGGTAGGATCCCTTAATGATCACCAGCTCCCTCTAGCGTTCTCAGAGGCTTCTCGCCGCGTTTACGGCCTGGGAGTTTTCTTGCATCACTTTCCTCCTTCCCTCTCGCCGCTGCCCCCCCCCACCCCAAACCTTTTCCAGATTATAGGCGTATACCCATTTACCTCTGCGGTGAGGTACTCCAGGATGGCTGCGCTGTACACAGCAGCAGTCGCGCCCACACGTCCATGGCTGGTCGTCCTAGATTTCAGGTGTCGATGAATACGGCCCACCGGAAACTTAATTTTAGGCACAAACATAAATGCAAAGATATGAGTCCAAGATGATAAAATAATACGCGCGCCAAAGCAAGAGGCATGGACGCTGGTGCAGCAACTCGCCCCAGAACCGACACACGTGATCGCCCCCCTTCCCCGATATTTAACGTATCGGCAAACGAAGTCGCGACACCGCATCGCCCACGCAAAGACCAAACGCCCATCTAGAGCGATGATAAACAAGGAGGGGGGAAAAAAACCGCCACTATTCCCAGACTGCACGGACAACCACTGACCTGCAAGCCGGCTCTCTGCGAGCGGGAAACCGCCTTTGTCTTGGCCTTTCCGGAGTCTTTCCCAGCCTTACCGCCAGCCTGCAGCGCGCACACGCCCGCGAGCGAAGGAGGAACGGAGAATATAGGATTACCAGGACGGAACGCCCCTCCCCCACCGCGGCGCGGCCCAGGCGCGAGCGCGCCCCCGAGCCCCGCCGGGGTCTCCGGCCCGCCGCGCGTCCCAAGGGCGACCCCGCCCGCCCGTCTCCCGCTGCGCGCCCGCCACGGCCGCGCGCCTCCGTCCGCCCGCTGGCACCCAGCGGCGCTGTGTGCACCACCCAACCGTCGCCGCCCGTCGCGAGATCGGAGGCGGCTCCGCTCGCCGCCGACAAATCACCTCCCCCCGCGCTTCCAAATCCTGTCTCCGCGCGTTCCCAACCGTCGCCTCTTCACCCCCATCTCCGTTTGTAACGCGTTTTCCTCCCGCCAGCAAAAACCCGCGGAGTCTTCGAGCGCCTCAGCGAAGTTTACCATTTCAAATTCTGCTGAAGCTCAAACAAGCAAGACAGAGAAAGGACTAGTCAAACACCAAGCGAGATCCCACCGCCTACTCCTTCGTCGCACCGCGATTCAAACTGCGCTGTCTCCCGCCTTCCCCGCTCCCTTTATACTGCAGAATGTTCCCTCATCCGGGAACTCGGATTGCTCGTCCCACCAATGGCTGACACCCGCCTTCGGGACGCGTCCTTGAGGCCTCAGCCAATGAGCAGGCTCAGAAGAGGGCGGAGGGGCGGGCGCTTAGCAGCTCGAGCCGCTATTGGAACATGGGAGGAGATGGGGAGGGAGGTGGAAGAGGGCGGAGGGATGGGAACCGGGGAGAAGAAGGGCACCGCGGCGGGAGGGAAGAAACAGAGCGAACTACGCTGCGGGAGCGAGGACACCCGCCGCCTGTGGTCACGTGTCTGGGAGGAGGAGCTGAGAAGCTCAGGGGAGGAACACGCAGGAGCGCCCCCCAGTCTCCTAGCGGGATTCCGTTGACCACGTGAAGTCGTGTACGGGTGTAGCGCGTCCACCTTCCCTTCCCTCCCGCCTCCTAGCTCATCGCTGGTGGAGATCCGCTGTCCTGCAGCCTTCTCCTGGGGCATCCTCCTCCGCACCTCACTCTCCATCCCCAACGGCTCCTTGGGTTTGACAGGTGGCGCGAACGCGTCCTGTGACAGGAGCCGCGACTCATCCGCTAACCACAGCCTCCAAAGAGATTGCCCGTTACTTCCGCCTAGGCCAGTCTCCAGCCACCGACTGATTACGACCCGCTGCCCTCACTTCATTTTCAGCGGTATCTCTCATCTCTTCTTTCCTCACCACTTTTGAAACTCCTCACGGGAACAAACGGTGGAGCAGTCACCTCGCTGGACGCAAAAGACCTTTTGGTCTATGCACGGAGGGCTTGGGGTGAGGCGGTATTCTTGAATCAAATCCTATCAATAGGTTATATCTATAGCTTGGTGTCTAAAGTTGACTTAGTGAAACCTCAAAGCTATTATGTGTTATTTTTCTTATACTAAACGTTTTGCTACATGACAAATGTTCGATAAATGTCATTGGGTAATTCCTGACATGATTCCCAGGCAGTTACAGATGGTCTATGTAATCAGTTGCAAACGGTGGGCTTAAAAAACAGTACTGTACACCCAGTACTATCATAACCCTAACTACTTCATCTTCCAATTAATAGATTAAGAACACCTGTGCACCTCCAGTTGCTTGGAGACATTAGTGATTTAAAACATCTTTGTAGTGTTTAATAGTATATTGCAGTTAACATTCAATATTTCTGACGTGAAGAAATTTTGAAATATGTGTTTTTAAGTACTTTATATTGGGTTTCAATCTGAAAGATTTTATTACGTTAGAGGACCTTTCTATTTCTGGGAGATAAATGCCAGAAAAGAGGTTCCCAACAATGTTGACACGAGGCTTATTATTCC